GCAATTGACCATTTATTTTGTTCATCAGTTGTTTAGAAAAATCTACCTTTTTTAAGAGGTTGACTTTCTAAAACTTATCAATTACAAATTTGCTTCCATTGCATTGGAAAATTAACATTTCTGTGGCATTCTGATTATGTCCTATAATTTTTATTATGAAGATAATACATATTCATGTCCATGCTCAGTCATGTTTAACTCTTTGTAACCCCAAGGACTTCAGCCTGCTAGGCTCCTCTGTTCATGGCATTTCCCAGGCAAGGGAATATCCAATACTGGAGTGGGTTGCCATTTCCTTCTCCAGGGGATCTTCCCGACCCAGGGATTTGAGCCTGCATCTCCTGCACTGGCAGTTGGGTTTTTATTACTGAGCCACCAGGGAAGCCTGATAATATATACTAATTTTATATATTTTAATATTATATAGTATGTCTTGTAATATTTTGCTGTAAGATACAGCAAGACAAAGATAAAAAATTATACATCATGCTCACAACTAGAAGATAAATGATAATAACATCTTGGAATTCATCCATTTTTCCATTCTCTTCTATGTGTGTATGTGTGTATAATTTTCTTTAAAATTTTTGGTGACTTTACTCCATTATAATATCTCCTGGTAATACTAACTTAAGTTTGATTTGTTTATTTGAGTCTATATTTATTACATTACTTATTTACTTACTTAATTTGGCTGTGCCGGGTCTTAGCTGTGGCACTTGGGACCTTTCATTGCAGCCCATGGACTCTCCAGCTGAGGGGTTGCAGGCTCAGTGCAACTGTGGTACGCATGGGCTTCAGTTGCCCAGAAGCATGTGGGATCTTAGTTCCTGGACCAGGGATTGAACCTGCATCCCCTGCATTGCAAAGCAGATTCTTTAACCATGGGACCACCAGAGGTCCTGAGTCTATATTTTTAAATAATTAAATGTCATGATTGTCATCTTGTTGATGGATTGTTTCTTTTATCATTAAGAAGTCTTTCTTCACTCTTCAAATGCTTACTTATCACTTTATATTGAAGTTCATCTTATATTAGTACTATTACTCTATTGCATTATCACTTTGAGTAGTGTTTACTTCGTATGTATTTTCCACTCTCTTTATTTGCAACATTTGTTTTAAAATAATTAGATATGTCTTTTGTGTTTTTAAATCATGTATCTGTCTTTCTACAGATCAGTTCATATCATGGGTGTTTACTGTGATTTCAGATGTATTTGGGCATGTTTATTCCAAATTAACTTGTTAATTTAATCTTCTGTTAGCCATACCTGTTCTTGGCTCATTTATCCTCCTTTTCTGCTTTTTCATTTTTAAAAAATCGATACAGTTTTAGTTCCTTTTGTTCTCCTGCTGTTTCAGAAATTTTGATTTTTAGTCTATTATTTTGGTGGTAAGAATTAATGAAATTTTAACAGTATGCCTCTAACTTTATATTATCTTCCCATGTTTGTAGTTATTCAGTATTTGTCATCTTCCTGCATACAGTAAAGAGCTCAGAGTGTTTTAACAATATGCTGAACTTCTTCCCTATACTTTCATCTTATAATTGTTTATCTAGAATTCTAGTTCCACTTTTTTTAAACAGAAAAATTATTGAGCTTTTAAAAAAATATATTCCACAATATCTAAAACTGTAGCTACATTTTACCACCATCTATGCTTACTATAGTGGCTTAGTGGTAAATAATTCTCCTGCCAATCCAGGAGATGCAGGTTTGATCCATGGGTCTGGAAGACCCCTGAAGAAGGAATGGCAACCTACTCCAGTATTCTTGCCTAGAAAATTCCATGGACAGAGGAGCCTGGCAGATTACAGTCCATGGGGTCGCAAAAGAATCAGACATGACTTAATGACTGAACAACAACAAATGCTTACTATAGTGTTTTGTCCCCTGCCCCTTTCTTTTGGGTACAAGTTATTTCTTACAGAGATTGTATACTTTTGGTAATTGTTTCAGAGAGGGTCTCAGTGGTAAACACTTGTCTTCATATTTATTTTGTCTTCATTAAAAAAAAAAATGATTATCTAAGCTGGCTATAGAATTCCAGGCTAGCAGTTATTTTTTTTTCTCAGCCTTTTAAAACTATTACTCCAATGCCTTTTGGTATCAGTTGTTGCCAAATAATACCAAGTGAGCCTAATTGCCTTCTTTTCTTTCTAGTAAGGTTTAAGATTTTCTTTATCTTTTTCTACAGTTTTAATTTAGTATATCTAAGAATGAATTAATTTTTGTTTATCTGGCTTTATGCTTGGTGGAAACTTTCAACCTGAATATTCTGCTTTATTTTTAAAGTTTGAAAAATAATCAGCAACTTACCCCTTTACATATTACTTCTATGCTATTTCTTCAATTTTATTTTTCTGCACCTCTATTAGAAGTTTATTAATTTTTGTCCATCTATGTCTCTTAACTATTAATACTTTTCATTCTTTATTTCTTTGTACTGCATTCTGTATATTTTAACAGTTATTTTAGTGCAAAGTTGGAGGAAAGGGTGGGCCTCAATGCCTAGATATAAAATATAAAAGATGTCATCTCACCTAAAAATTCTACCCTCTTCTTTCAGCTATTCTCTTCTCAATCTTTAAAGAAAATTTATGCATTTTATAAAGGTCTCAGAAATAGAGTTTGGTTCATTTAAACAATACATTAGTCAATGTGCTAGCCCTCCAGATAGAGAGGTCTGAGACATGGTTCCTGACCCAAAGGCCAAGGTTTTTATAACTTAGCATGGGACAGAAACATAAACAAATCATTCTAAGAGCATATGTGTGGCAAGTGTTATAAGAGTGACATAAATAGGATGACCTAAGGTTAAAGAAAAGGGTATTTGGTTCTATCTAGCAAGTCAGGGAGATTGGGAGGAGATGATACTTGAACTGGACTTTGTGAAAAAATTAACACTCACAGAAGAGATATGGGTTAAATGGGACCCTCAGCCTCTGAGTTTACTGAAAAGATAAGTTTCATTTAGAAACCGAATGCATTTTTCCCCCCTCCAATGATGTACCACCTCACACTAGTCAGAATGCCCATTGTCAAAAAAATCAAACAATAAATGCTGGAGAGGATGTGGAGAAAAGGGAACCCTCTTGCACTGTTGGAGAGAATGTAAATTGATACAGCCATGATGGAAGCATTTTCTATGGCCAGTGTGACGGTTTGCTCTTATTTCATGGAGTTTTCACCTCTGCATGTATGCTAAGTCACTTCAGTCATGTCTGACTCTGTGCGACCCTGTGGACTGTAGCCCGCCTGGCTCCTCTGTCCATGGGATTCTCCAGGCAAGAATACTGGAGTGGGTTGCCATGCCCTCCTTCAGGGGATCTTCCCGCCTCAGGGATCAACCTGCATCTCTTATGTCTCCTGCATTGGCAGACAGGCTCTTTACCACTAGCGCCACCTGAACATGAGTGTACAAATATCTCTTTGAGTGCATGCGTGCTAAGTCATTTCAGTTGTGTCCAACTCTGTGTGACCCTAAAAGGACTGTAGCCTGCCATGTTCCTCTGTCCATGGTTTTCTCCAGGCAAGAATACTAGAGTGGGTTGCTATTTCCTCCTCCAGGGGATCTTCCCGACCTAGGAATCGAGCCCTCATCTTTTACATCTCCTACATTCTTTACCACTAGTGCCACCTGGGAAGCCCCATCTATTTGAGTTACTGCTTTCAATTCTTTTGGACATATATATACCCAGAAGTGAAATTTCTGGATCATACATTCATTCCATGAACAGAGGAGCTTGGTGGGCTACAGTCCATGGGGTCACAAAGAGTCAAATACAACTGAGTGACTAACACACATGTTAATTCTCTGCTTAATTATTTGAGGAACCACCATCCTGCTTTACACAAGTGGCTGCGCCAATTTACTTTCCCACCAACAATGCACACAGGTTCTAATGTTTCCACATCCTTGCCAACATTTATTGTTATGCATTTTTTTAAAATTTATAACCATTCTACAGTATGTAAAGTAGTATCTTAGAGTGGTTTTGATTTGCATTTCCATAAAGGCTAATAATATTGAGTATCTTTTTATGTGCTTGTTGTCCATCTGTATACATTCTTTGGAGACAGGTTGATTCAGCTTCTTTGATCATTTTTTGTTGTTGTTTGGGTTATTTTGGATTATTTGCCTTTAAATTATTGAGTTTTTTCCTAAGCTATTTGTAGCTGTGTGGATCCTCTGTAAATCCAATGAAGCTTCAGCTTCAAAGCCTCACATTTGCAGGAGCCCCCTTTGAAGACCTCCAATGGTCTCTAGCAAAGAGTTCATATTGCATTTTATTGAATAAAATGCAATATGAATAAAATATATAAATGTGTTTTATTGAAATTAGGGAAAAATATTTTTATACAGGAATTGTCAAGATGGCTTCCTCTTTTCACACTAACTTCCCATCAGTGACACTTTTCTTCCACACTGTTGACTGATGTGAGGGAGGCAATGGACATTTTGTATCCATAATTTTATATACTTTTTCCTTAAAAGGATATCTAAATTATATAACTTTGGGCTTCACAGAACCAGGCTCTGCCTCCACTCGTATATAATAAATTCTAAGTCCATCTCTCCTGAGAGCCTCCTCTTTTGATTCTCAAATGCCTAGTTTGAAAGTAGAAACAAAATCCTCTGCATAAAAGTCTTCCTCCCTTTTGGCAAATTTTTGCTATGGGGCAACATCATTCTTATTTAGGTTCACTGTGGCCTCTGACTGCTGACAGTGAAAGTGAAATTTGCTCAGTTGTATCCGACTCTTTGTGGACTATATAGACTATACAGACCATGGAATTCTCCAGGTTAGAATACTGGAGTGAGTAGCTGTTCCCTTCTCCAGGAGATCTTCCCAACCCAGGGATCAAACCCAGGTCTCCCGCATTGCAGGCGGATTCTTTACCAGCTGAGCCATAAGGAAGCCTGACTGCTTACAGAAGGGTTAGGAAACAGTAGTGTAGAATGCTCTCCTTTCACTTCTCCTCTCCTTTCAGCCCCTGTCATCACCACTCCTCTCGAAACAGTGGACGCCTTAGTTGAAGAAGTCACTACTTTCATGTGTGCGGTGGAATCCTACCCCCAGCCTGAAATTTCCTGGACCAGAAATAAAATTCTCATTAAGTAAGTATTCTGCCTTTTTCCACCAAGAATGACCAAGGCTGCCTTGGGATTTATCTTTGTCGTAAATGCAATCACAGCTCTTGGCAGTACTAAAGTTCACCTTCTAGAATATTTAAAATGTAATTCCTACATTTCAGAAATGTAAGATCTGAACTTCAGTGAGGTTAAGGGAATTGTCCAATGTAAAGTGATTTAACTGATATGGCAGAGTCAGGGCTGTTTCCTAGATCCAGGTTAGGTCCTAGAGGAAATTTCACAGTAATTAGAAAACACCATGGTATCCTAATTCGGGGGGTACATGTTCCAGGATATCCTGGGGAGTTAATAGGGACCAGCCTCATCTCCTGTACTTTCAATATCCCAATCAAGTCATGCATGTTCTCTAGGAATCTGACCTCTAGGTAACTATTACTTTTTCTTTTGAAAATCAGAAAGGACTCCTGATGTATATAGTGAGGTAACCTCTCAAACAGTAAAATTTTTACTTGGCATATAAAGGTTATGCTATCCTTTCCTCGTTAAATAGCTATTTGACCAAAAATACTCCAAAATATCTATAACAAAGGGAACCACTAGCTTTCTAGAAGGCCACATACCTTGAGTTAGGGCTAGAGTGTTTAACTGCTCCATAGGCTGGGGTCCGTGAACTTGGATAGGGAAAAATTATGTGTTTGTTTTCACTAAACTCTAATTGAAATTTTGTATTTCCTTCTATTATGTGTGCTGTAATGTGGGAAATTACCCTGGGCTATGAAGCCTTCAAGTACTCTATCAGGCAAGTTATCTCAGAAATCCTGGAATAGGAAGGCTTATAAACCAAATTAAGATACTTGAAATACAGCTTATTAAATCAATTTAAAATACCCAATGAAACAAAAAAACAACCTACAGAATGGGAGAAAATATTTGCAAATTATATAACCAATAAGGAGTTAATATCCAAAATGCATAAACTGCTCCTACAACTCAATATCCAAAAATAAAAACTACCCACTCAAAAAATGGGCAAAAGAGCTGAATAGACATCCTTCACAAAGACATACAGATGGCCAACAGGCACATAAAAAGATGCTCAGCATCACTAGTTATTAGAGAAACAACAATGATATATCACCTCACACCAGCTGGGTCAACTATCATCAAAAGGTCTACAAATAACAAATGTTGAAGAGGATGTGGAGAAAATGAAACCCTTACACGCTATTGATGAGAATGCAAGTCGGTGTGGCCTCTATGGAAAACAGTATGGAGGCATCTCAAAAAGCTAATAATACACGTACTGTATGATCTAGTAATTCTATTCCAGGGTATATACCCAGAAAAAACTGAAAACACTAATTTGAATAAGTACATGCACCCCAAATTCATAGCAGTACTATTTCCAATAGCCAAGATATGGAAGAAACCCAAGTGTCCATAACAGATGAATAGGTAAAGAAGATGTGGTATATATTTACAATGGAATCTTACTCAGCCATAAAAAAGAATGAAATTCTGTCATTTGCACCAGGGTGCATGGACTTAAGAGAATATTATGCTTAATGAAATAAGTCAGAGAACAACAAAGACTGTATGCTACCACCCACAGATGGAATCTAAAAAGTAATACAAATGAATGCATGTGCAAAACAGAAACAGACTCACATAGAAAATAAACTAATGGTTACCAAAGGGGAGGTGAGATGGGAAGGGGAATGCAAATTAGGGGTGTGGGTTTAAGAGCTATGTGTGTGTGTACTGTCGCTTCAGTCATGTCCAACTCTTTGCAACTCCATGGACTGCAGCCCTCCAGGCTCCTCTGTCCGTGAGATTCTCCAAGCAAGATTACTGGAGTGGTTTGCCATTTTCTTCTCCAGGGGATCTTCCTGACCCAGGGATCCAACCTGCACCTCTTTCAGCTCCTGCATTGGCAGGCAGCTTCTTCGCACTAGCACCACGTGGGACTACTATGTAGAAAATAAATGAGCAACAGGATATATCGTATAGCACAGGAAACTATAGCCATTATCTTGTAATAACTTTTAATGGAGTACAATCTGTAAACATAATGAATCACTAGGCTATGTACACCTGAAACTAATATAATATTGCAAATCAACTATACTTCAGTAAGAAAGAGGAAAACAATTTATATTTTGAAAATTATAAATACTTGTGTGCCTCACAATCTACAAGTGATTTATATACTTTAAGCAGCAATGATACAACAGATTATAAATCTTTAAAGTTTCTATTTCACAGAGTGGTTTGACTCTTAGTCCACAAGCACATCTGTAAAATATTTCAATATTCACATTTTCCATGCAAACTTAAACATAGCAAAAAACAAAAGCAAAGCAAAAATTACATGAGAGTCAGTATCATGGCTATCCCTAGTTATTTAATGTGATTTAATGAACTACCCAGTGATTATATCATCCTTAGTCACATAGATCAAAAATTACCATATCTTTTTTCCTCTTTAAGATCAGTGTGTGATGGGGGCCATCCATCGAATTCAAAATCAAGAATCCATTTCCTTTAAATCTTTTGTTTTCAGGTTGTATTATTTTTCCATTTCTACTGTAACAAATTACCATAAAATTAGTGGTTTGACACAACACAAATTTATTATCTTACAATTTTGGAGTTCAAGAGTCTGAAACCAGTCTCTTTGGGCTAAAATCAAGGTGTTGACAGGGCTGCATTCTTTCTGGAGGCATTAGAGGAAAATCTGATTTCTTGCCTGCATTTCTTGGCCCTTTGCTCCATTTTGAAAGCCAGCAACTGCATCACTCCAGCCTCATCACATCTCATTCTCTGATCCTCTTGCTTCCCTCTCCCATCTTTTAAGGACCCTCATTATGAGGTGGTGCTAGTGGTAAAGAATCTGCCTGCCAATGCAGGAGACGTAGAGATGTGGGTTTGATCTCTGGGTCAGGAAGATTCCCCTGGAAGAAGGCACGGCCACCCACTCCAGTATTCTTGCCTGGTGAATCCCACGGACAGAGAAGCCTGGCAGGCTACGGTCCTGGTCGATAGGTTGCAAAGAGTCAGACATGACTGCAGCGACACAGCAGGCAAGCATGCATGATTACATAGGGCCCATCTGGATAATTCATGATACTCCATTTTAAGATTCTTGACATCTGCAAAATCCCTTTTGCCATGTAAGGTAACATATTCACAGGTTCTGGGGATTAAGACATGAATCTTTGAGGTGGCGGTTTACTCTGCCTAATTTGTACTTGTTGCATAAAGCATTTTTATTTGGTCATAAAACTCAATTTTAGGTTGACATTTCCCCTCATATTTCTTTCCATTGTCCTAACTCCCTTCTTAACATTCAGGCTGCGTGCCATTTAGTGAGATAATATATGTAAAACATAATTTTTACAGTTTGAGCCTGTATTGCTCCCTATGTATCCCATGGAACTAGAACTGTGCCTGGCACTTGTTAGGCACTCAACAAACATTTGATTAATAAATGAAAATACTTAGGCAACTGTTAGTTAATCCAATATATATATTTAACCTTTCCCTTTTTTTCCATTTTTTAAATTGAAGTATAATTGATGTGGGACTTACTAGCTGGCACAGTGGTAAAGAATCTTCCTGTCAATGCAGGAGACCCAGAGACGCAGGTTCTATCCCTGGGTCAGGAAGATCCCCCGGAGCAGGAAATGGCAAACTGCTCCAGAATTCTTGCCTGGAAAATTCCATGGACAGAGGAACCTGGTGGGCTATTGTCCAGGGGGGTCACAAAGAGCTGGACATGACTGAGCTACTGAGGACAGCACACACCTAGTTGATTACAATGTTGTGTTAGTTTCAGGTGTATAGCAAAGTGATTCAGGGTGTGTGTGTGTATGTGTGTGTATACTCTTCTTCAGATTCTTTTCCATTATAGGTTATTGTAATATACTGAATATATTTCCTTGTACTATACAACAAGTCCTTGCCGTGTATCAATTTTATATATAGTAGTGTGTATCTGTTAATCCCTTTCTGCTAGTCACATGTGTGTGTGTGTGTGTGTGTTCATTATCTAGCTGCTATTCCCAGTAAATATGGGAGAGGATTCATATCTTGGGTAATGATATACTTCCCTAAATAAAGTAAATTTTATGTTGGGTGGGTCTTATCAATAGACATCACCTTTCGAAATTATTTTTGAAGGACTCAGCACTGCTTTGATTATTGGAGCCTACAAAAGATTAGAAAATGTTAGCTTTCTACCCCCAAATAAGCTTATTCTATTATTCAGAACTTACTCGAGTTTCCTCTTCCCTTTAATCTACTTCATCCATTGGTAAATCATCTGCTGGATCATATAATCATAGTCAAAACAATTCACAGATGGGGCCCTAACCTGCCATAATCGTCTGTGACCCACAGGCTCTTTGATACCCGGTACAGCATTCGGGAGAATGGTCAGCTCCTCACCATCCTGAGCGTGGAAGACAGTGACGACGGCATTTACTGCTGCATTGCCAACAATGGTGTGGGAGGAGCTGCTGAGAGCTGTGGAGCTCTACAAGTGAAGATGAGTGAGTGGGAGAGAATCATCCATTGATTTCTAAGCTGACTTGGTACACTTTGAAGCAGACAGTAAACAGAGCCTCTTGCATATCTGGAGGCTGGGCAGCCAGACAAGTTCAAGTTCAAATCACAACCTTGAGACAGTTTCACACCTTTTATTCCTGCCAATTACCCACTACCCTACAGGGAAGCCTCATCATTTTCTGCCTTCTCCCATTTTCTAGCCTTTATTATGGCTCTTTATTTGCACCACCATGAAATCTTTCACCAGGAACTCCCCTTTAAAATCTTTACCATGTACCTTTAATTTAAAACAGTTTCATTACAACCAGACACCCTTTTAATCTCTGACCTCTTTGCAGACACTTATTCTACCCTTTTGCCTTATTTCAAACCTGAATTTGAGTGACTTTTCAAACTTGAGTGACTTTTCTGTTTAAAGGGAGGCTGTTTATTTCTTATCCACTTCAAGTCAACAAGACTAGCAGGTACTGATGGTTCATTGCTGCTTTTAAGCCATTATATTTTGCATTCCTGTGCAAAACCTTTCCTCTCATGAAGGCTTATACCATTTTGACCAATCTCTCTAACTCTATCCATCATCTACTCACTTCTAGGTCCTCTCCCATATTTCTCAAAGATTTTGATTCCAGATTTATTATCTTTCTATCCACTCCTACTCCTGCCATTATCCTAAGAGATTTTAACAGCCATGAAACAGAACCACTGTTCACTTCATCCTACAGCCCCTTGACCTTCACAAGTCCAGTGATGTTAACCTTAACTCTTTATCAGTCTATCCAACCTATGATCTTGGTACCCAGGAAATTAGGTCACATCCTGAACATGGACATTTGTATTTCCAGCTCTGTCTGATGAGTGAAATGGTTTCTCACACTCAGGACTTGCCTCCAAACAGAGGAACAAACTTTATCGGTCTCTTTCTCAGCTAAGGACAGAGTCCAGCTCCCTCATGCCCTTCTTCCCACGCCAAACCATCACCATCATGGTCATGCTCCTGCTCTTACCTCCTCTCTGTTCTCTGTTTCATTGACCCCACAATGGGCACATCATTCAGTTCTCTCTTCACTTCGTTCTCTCTCCTACCTGGCATCATCACGCGGACCTTACTAGCATCCTCAAATCTCATGAACCCTTGTGCCCCAGCATGTGATGCTTGTAAACTCTCAACCTTATAATGACATAACCTTTATTTTCTCCTGACATCACACTATTGATGGGAAAAATCACAGAAATATGCATATTAGCATGGTGGAATCCAGTTCTGCCTGTGACCTTTATTGTAAATTTTTGTTGTTGATTTTCATCACTATTTCTTTCATCTTTTATCTTTCAGTCTTGTTATTATTGTTTTGATGGAGGAAGTCACTCACTGCTTCTTTTCGGTGTGAACACATGAGATGTATTTTGTGAATGTTTGCATGGCTGAAAGTCTTTATTTTGCCCCCAATATTGAGTAAATAATTTGTCTCAGTACAGAAGTGAAGTGAAGTCGCTTAGTCGTGTCCAACTCTTTGCGACCCCATGGACTGTAGCCTACCAGGTTCCTCCATCCATGGGATTTTCCAAACAAGAATACTGGAGTGGGTTGCCATTTCCTTCTTCAGGAGATCTTCCCGACCCAGGGATAGAACCTGAGTCTCCCGCATTGTAGGCTGATGCTTTACCAACTGAGCCACATGGGAGTTTTAATAGGCTTTTCCTTTAGGTTTTAATAAACAATTATTCATTGCCATATGACATTTTAGGTTGAAGATAAGAAATCTTTCTCTTATTTGTTTACACATAAATCTGGTATTTATCCTAATTTTTTTTGGATTTTTCTATTTCTAGAATTCATAACATTTCAAACTGACAGGAATACAACAGGCTTGTGTTTTCTTTTATTATTTCTACTTAGTCTTAGGTGAGCCATTTTGCTCTAAAAACCAAAGGTTTTTTTTTTCCCCCAAGTGAGCTACACTTTTTGTCTATTTTCTTCCTCTTCATTTGATCTCATTCTTAAACTTTTAATCAACCAATATTAGGTTCCTTTTTTTTGGTTTTTTATCACTCCAAGTTTATCCTCATATTTTCTACATTATCTATCTTGATATTCTACGTTCTAGGAGATTTGCTTGACTTTTCCTTCTATTTCATGTATTTGGTCTTCAATATAACCATGCTGCTATTCTGATGTTATCTTCAGTACTTTGACCTAAAGACCCATATTTTTAATTTCCAGGTGTTCTTTCTTCCCTGATTGCTCTGTTTTTATAGCCAACTCTATGCGTTGCATGGTGCAGAATGCACTTATCTAAGGACACTATTTACACATTTTTTAAAACGTTTTTTTTCCCCTGCTTTGCTTCTGTTTTCTTCATGCTAAATTTTGATTTTATTTTGGTTCTTTTCCTTCATGTTCATGGTCTTTCTCAGATATCTGTTAATCTTTTATGTTTATCACACCTAGAGATGATGTCCGAGATTAACTGTAATAGGTAAGTTGTGAGGACATCATGGGAAAAGCTGATCTGGAGATTCTGAGAGTAAGTAGGTCAGGATGTACCCACAAATAGGCTTTCTTTCAGCATATGGGGCAGTAAGAACACCAAGTAAGGAAGAAGGATCTATTTTGCTGATGAATAAAAGTGTGATTCCAAAGACAGAGCATGTTTAAGTACTTTACTGCTTTGTGATACTCCTTTTCCTTCGAATATTGTTCGTATTCATTCTGGCACTAAATGTTCTTGATTTTGGCTCTATCTTAAATCCCCTTTTCTTCTTCTCTCCTCTTCTTTTCTCCACTTTCTCTTTAGGGAAGCTCAGCTAGTGTGGGTACACACTGGTGTGGCCAGCCCAGCTGTTAACATTTTGGAACGCTTCCACACTGCTTGCTAAAGAGCTGTTTCCTGAGACTCTCAAGGTCCCTACCCACACTGCTACCCAGGCCCTCCTTAGGGAGCCCCTTCCCCCAGATTCTTTATGGTCCAACAACTAAAGGCTGAACTTTGGCATAGCAGGACACCTCCAGGATCCAGCCTCAACAGAATAACCAGTTCTGATTAGTCAATGCTCACGGCTCCACCTGAATCATGCTCCCTTAGAGTGGGGAATCCATCATTCCACATCGGTACTCAATTCATTCCTAGTTTCCTTCATCATCAACTACTCACAAAGTTCTCCTGACCTCTCATCAGTAGGTGGCAAAGATATCATTTTCACTGAGAAGATAGGAGTTATTTGCTTTAAACAAAGGTTTTCTGCCTAAGACATTATCTGTGACTCAGGTTTGCCATAGGGATCAGTTCAGGGAGTCCAATGAAAGGAGTGAATAATACTGTCTTTGATTATATCACAGGCATATCAACTCCTAAGCTAAGCTTTGATCAGTAGCTGTATGACAAGTCTACCCACAGTCAAGGTGCCTAGTCATTATCTAAATGTACATATTCATTGGCATTGATAAGAAGGACGACTGCATAGCAGGCACAGTGACAAAGTTGATATTTTCCTATAACATGCTTAAAGCTTGTCTTGTACTTTTGCCAGAGTGCAGGATCATACCGCCTGTAAACGGCAATAAGTAACTAGATTAAAAATCCAACAAAACCATGTCCCCTCAACACTCAACACACACACACACACAGTTGAAGTAGAAGGGGGAAAAAGTCCTTATTTCCTACTCTTCTATGTCAAAGCAACACATTGATTATGGCACATGACCTGAAAGAAGTAAAATGCATCTATTTCTCAGTAGTCTGTCCTGCTAGACAGACTCTACTTGATTAGTTCTCTACTTGATATCTGTAACATAAAATTCCTAAGGAAATAAATTTAGTTTTCATTATTTTATGAATGTTTCACATAGTAAAATAACTGACATCCTGAACTTGTCAATTCTTCTATACACTAGATTTAATAACTTCTTCCTCTGAAAGCTCAGTACCTGGAGAATAAAAATTAACTGACATAAACTATTTCTTCTGAAAAAATTAATTTAGGAGTGTTTCATAGTATATACAAGTTTGCTTTGCAGAGTAGAGTTACTCTGAATTGTATTACAGAATTTCTCTGATTATAAATATAGTAATATCTGATTTATTTTCTAGAGGACAAATGTGTCTAATTTATAATCATCAAATTTAATGGTCAAATTAAGACTGAAACTAAAGGGACAGTAGGTCATAACTCAGAATTGTATACAAATGTAAACATATCAAACCTTTATTTTCATATGTTTTCATGTCTGTTACTATGAATTAATGTGAGTTGTTACAGCAACAGCTTATTTTAATCAACTTTTTATTAACTATTTTTTTCAAATAAGATAAAACAGAGCTAATCTAAATTTTAAAAAATTATTTGTTTGATATCCACTAAAAACATGGCTCAGCACTTGGTGAGTTCTGTATTATAATACACCTAAGAATATTTTTAATGGATATTAAGAATTAAGCATAAAGTTAGAAATTCTAAGTTTAGTAAATGCAAATTGCCTTTTTAATTTTTTCCTTTATTTTCCTTTAGAACCTAAAATAACTCGTCCTCCCATAAATGTAAAAATAATAGAAGGATTAAAGGCAGTTCTACCATGTACTACAATGGGCAATCCCAAACCATCAGTGTCATGGATCAAGGGGGACAGTGCTCTCAGGGTAAGTGCTGATTATGTTAAAACATGTATACACAACATATTTTCAAATACAGCAATCCTTTGCAAATTCAGTCACACACAAACTTCTAGTATAAAATATTTTCTATGCACAACATTTTAACCAAACCTAAATATTTTAACCAAATCTAAATATTTTCCATGCACAACACTGGAACCAAACCTATATTTATCTATCTAGATAGATAGATAGATATAAGGCATTCCAGTTGGGGCTGAGTAGGAGAGAAAAGAGGTAGGGACCAGTAGTGTTAAGGATGATAAAAGAGGCAGAGCAAAGCTAAGCTAGAGTCTTCTTTGTTGGTTGGTCAGTTGGTTGGTATTTGAATCTTTTTTTTTTTTTAACATTGAATCTCTGAGACTCAACAGATTATTTTTAAAAAGGGAACTAAGCTTCAAGTTTTAGACCTGACAAATAGCTTCTAGAAGGAGAGAGAAAGAAATGAGATTTGGAAGAAAAGGAATGAGAACATTCTGGAGTGAAGTTAGAGCATTAAGACTCAAGACTGGTAACCTTGAAAATGACCTCAATCATATACAGTAGTCAAACTTGAAATACATTATTCACATCCTTATTTTGTACTGCTTTTGTATCTTATACCTACATTTATTGATAAATTACTATTCTGCATCATCATTGTCTCTTTCCATCCTTGTATAACCTACTATGAACTCAGTGAGGTCACAGACAATGTGTTTTTCATATTACTATACTCAGAGTATTCCATGGGGGGATACGTAGATGTTGACCTCAATTAACTGAAATACAACATAATATCAATTAGCTTTGATTTAAAATAAAACAAATAGTTTTCATTTTTATGATAATCTATATAATTTTCTGGCCTTCTTTTGTTATATTTTCTACAGTAAAAGAAGGAGAGGCTCTATATATACTAGTGAATTTAGATCCCCAAGGAGAATACAGATGTAATATTTTAATTATAAAGACCAGTTTTTGTATTTTCTGTAGAGTTTTCCAACTTTTAAAAGGTCACACATTCCCCTAAAGAACCCATATAGGCAGTAAGTACGCTTGTTAAGAGCAATGATTTTAATCAAACAAACTTGGGTGTGATTTTTTTTTAGATATCAAATTCTAAAATAAGACTTGTTGGTTTAGGGCATCCAATAAGCCTTGGGGTCCTCATGTATTGAAAGAAAATAAAAACAACTATATCTTATGGCACTGTTATTAAAATTTATTTTTAAAAGGGAATCTTATACTATCTCATTTATTATTGTATGTTATCCATAATAAATGTCAAATGTTAAAATAATATTTCTGATGAGTGATAATGACGACTTGATGAAACATAGCAAATGTATCCTTGACAGACTCATGTTCATGCAAAATTCATGTACCTATCTCTGCAGGAAAATTCCCGAACTGCGGTTCTTGAATCTGGGAGCTTAAGGATTCATAACGTACAAAAGGAAGACGCAGGACATTATCGATGTGTGGCAAAAAACAGCCTTGGGACGGCATATTCCAAACTGGTGAAGCTGGAAGTGGAGGGTAAGGAGCTGTGTTTCTTCTGATGACAGTGCTAGCAGAAGGCCTCACGCTCTACTGTGAAGGCTGTACTTCATCTTGCAAAACAGAGAGGCAGGAGGAGTTTAGTGTCCTCAATTATTCCAGATATTAGACCATCAAGTCAACACTCAAAAACTGAAAGGAGGGAAAAAAAGTTCCTTTGTTTAATAGGTCATATTCCATCTATATTCCATCAATTGACTGAAACAGACTATAGTACTAAAACAATAGGATACCATTTTAGAGTACCTTCCTGGCTTGGACAACACTTCCTTGTTTACCAATTTGAAGATACTCATCTTTTACAGCATAAAAGATGTGTCTTAAAAATGTATCAAAAGAAAAATGTAACTTCTTTCCAGATTGTATTCTGTCACAAAGTTTAAGAAAAATAAAGTACTGACTCAAAATGTATAACTCCAAATGGTCCTCCTACTTCTATGAGTTATACTGTCAATATATTTTACATTTTTAAAAATGTTCTTTGAAGTCAATTAATTCAACAGCTTGTTGTAAAAGATCTTCACTGAGAAATCAGAATCCAGATTGAGCTAGGGATTATCCATTTGGTCATCAGCTCCCTCTTGACCTGAAATTATATCAATTTTGCTTAAAAATAGAAACTTTCAGCTTGCCTATATTAGGTGAGGAAACTGAGTGCAAAACTCTTTCCACCTTTTCCTGTTATAAGTCTTAGAATTAACCTCTCTGGTTCTCAATTTTCTTATCTGCAAAGTGGGGTTTATTGTGAGTATTCAGTGAGATAAGTTACTGGAAGTATTTAGCACAATGTCTGGCCCTTTATAAACACTCAACAAATGTTGACTATAAGAATTATCACTTCCTTTTCTGCTTTGCTGTTATCTGATCAATAAAGTGATTATCACACATTGACACAAATTACATTTCAATTGGGAAAGGTTTCACAGTTTCCCCTAGCTTGCTTTGATGTCACCTTTCTCTTAAGCCAAAATGGACCCCTTCCTACATTTCTTCCTTCCCAATCACAGTTTTCTATTAGCTCCTGCAAGATTATCTTTATTGCCTAGCTAGATATTCTCACAGCTTTAATGATCTTACTTCTATTAACTGTTCATGGAAAGGAATGAAATTAGAGGAAATTGTGGTTGTCAGACATAAAAAGGATATATTTTTAGCACAGCTGCTAGAATTTCATATCTTTTAAATGATCAATGCTATTTAAAGCTCAGAATGCAACCACCACCTGATGTAACTCACTGAGTGAAAATTAAATAAACATACAAACACATTTGGTCACACTTTCAGACACAACGAATGTCTGCCTGGATTCAGTGTTTCCTTGAACTATGCATGGAGGGATACAGAATAGATCTTAGCCATTTATAAACAATATCATGAAGATTTTTCTCTTCAAGGCATGAAATATGAGCCCTCTGATTCATAACATAAAACATTGATTGTTTAGGTTACTGTCTTCAAAGATAATGGAACAATTTGCTTTAGTTTCGGCCTAGAGAAAATGATCACAAATCTCATTAGTTGGAGCTCAATTACACAGCTTAGTCTTGCCTTGCCATTTAGTTTTGTATCATGCCTATCAGTAAAACTGAACACTCTCCTTCCTAATATTTAAACAGTCATGTTCATTGTGTTAACAATTAATATATGTAAGACATTTTATTCAAGTTGCTAGTACTGAAAGCTCATAATATCATTTAAAGGTACTTTACCAGGATGTAATAAGCTCATTTTAGCACACATGTCTATTTCTACTTCATTCTAGTCCCTATTAAAGTAGTCAATATACATAAAAACATGTGACATGCTTAGCACAACTGCTTGTATATACTACGCATTTAGTAAATAGCATCAGCTAAAATTATTACTATTAGAGCATAAATATTGCAGCAAATCTGTTTGGGCTCTTGAAGCTCTGTGAGATTGGCTTCCACTTAAATAAATAGTTGAGGCTTGTCCACAAGATATAACACAGACACAACCTATTTAAAAGAAGGGTCAATTAAACCAACAACACAGAGGAGATAAAAAGGCACCTAAGAAGTCACTGGAAGAATCCCAATATGCCTGCAAATGCCTGCTGTCTTGGCAGCCGTGAGGGCTGAAGATGAAGCAGGGTCACTCAGGACAGATGAGCGTTTGTTACGTATTGTGTCAGTAACGCTGCAAATTAGTTTGAGCAAATCAGAACGAGAGCCCTGTCAGTGCTATTTGATGCTGGGCTACATCTACGGCAAACAGGTATGCCAGGGAAGACAGGGTTTGTCTGCTGTCATGAGCGTCTAATGAGGTTAACCTTGCCAGTTTATATAGATTTGGTACAGCGTGTTCACTAAACCTTAGCAGCCGTAACAAAGGTGAAAGAAATACCCTTGGACACGGAAGTGAAGCTCCCTCTCTAGATTGCCATCCTCAGGCTGCTGGGTCACTGGAATGGTAATATAAAGATATTTTAGGGGACTTCCCTGGTGGTTCAGAAGTTAAGACTCTGTGCTTCCCATGCAAGGGCCTGGGTTTGATCCCTGGTCAGGGAACTACATTGCACATGCAGCAACTAAGACCAAACATAGTCAAATAAATTAAAACAAAACAAAACAAAAGAGGCTCTTTGCTATCCTAGCTTATGAAAAAAGATTCTACCTTTCTGCCTTGCCTTAAAAGGTTCAAAGGGTGACATGCAAAATTACTGATGGAACAATCCAATTTAACCATGACCAAACATGGATATCTTTATAAAAGGATGAACAATGTGATGTCTAACATTTTAAAACACTAAATGCTTTACAGGGATTATTTTATTTAATTTTCACTAGCAGTCAGTGAGGAAGGGCCTATCATTGTATCATTTTAGGAAACCGAGAAACACACAGGGTAACTAACTCACTCAAGGCTCCACAGATAGAGGCACCTAAGTAATGGAGTAATGCCGAGTACAGTCTGTTCTGTTAAATAACAGGAGGATCATGTGTAACATTGTCAAGATTAGGATCAGAATGGGGATGGGGGAAGAAGCCAGAATTCTGTGAATGAAGGAGAATGGGAGTAGAAGAAGAAAGATAATAGATGTAGATTTATTTTTTCCCAATAAATTTGGCAGAAAAAAGAGATGAGTCCAAAAAGTGAGCAGTAGCTGGAAGCCTCGTTGGCACACAGGTAGTGTGGTTTTGCATAATTTCTCTTTTAAAAATGATTGAAATTTTTAAAAAAAATTGGCAATGTTAACTTGAAACATCCCACCCTCACCTTCTCCCACAAATCCAGGGCTGATTCATCAATGTATGACAAAAACCACTACAATATTGTAAAGTAATTAGCCTCCAACTAATAAAAATAAATGAAAAAAAAATGAGCAGAAAAAAAAATTGGCAATGTTAAAATATTAATGAGAAGAAACCCAGAGAGAAGAAAAATTTGAATATACAGGAGAGAGGCTGAATATTCAAGGGACTGTGGTACTGGAGGAGGTAAAAGAGATGAATTCAGCAACAAACTTTTTATGGGGGTGACCACATGACCCAGTTCACCCTGTTCTGGTTTACACCTGTCATCCTAGAATAATTATTAATAGAGTCCCTCTTTTACTTTCAAAAATACCCTGGCTTCAATGGTAATTGCATGATTATTGTACTTAGACAGGAAAAAGAAACAAGTTTCTTCCTTGTAATAGGGAGAAAGGAGAAAGGGGGTGTATTCCGGTATAAATGAGTTCATAAATTAGGTGGATGGAATTTGAGAAAGCTCTGTTCTGATGGGCTCTGTTTCCTGTAGGAAGTAGGAAGTAAGATTATCTTCTGAAAATACTCCTATAAAGTGGGGCAGAGGGATGAGGAGGTTTTTAAATAGCTGTGGAGAATGGGGGCGATGACTCACAGGAAAACTAGGCTTGCTGGGCAACATGCAGGTTTCAGCAGAGAACAGGACTAGGAATACAGACTGGCAGCAATTTGCTTCATTCTAGGTTTTTCCTGCAGGGTGGCACAGCAGGTATAAGTATAGGTATAAGCCAGAAAAAATAGAAAGCCAAATCCAAAGGCAAGATATAAGCACTGGAGCTTTGCCAGGAAGGAAAAGAGGGCAAGAAAGTTGAGAATATTGTGAGAGAATGCTTGAAATGATGACTCATGGAATGTTTATGCACTAAATACACAAACCTGGGATCAAACACAGAGCTCCAGCAACATGATAGACAAGATAACATGAAAATCTTTCTACTACAAACATTCAGAAATGCCAGGTTAGTTGTATAACTCATAAGGAAACAACATACATTTTCTGAAGTCAAGAATGAACAGAAATTTGCAAAGCAGAGCCATAAGATCATGGGGTCGTTGGACATTGTCCTCCATGTAATAAGACAGGTGCCCATTTCTTTAATGGGTAAGGTCAGTTTTTAAGACTCTTAAAGGGACAGAAGTTAGTCTTTTGCCCCTGTGAAGTGGAAGCTGGCATTGATACCCTTGTATAAAGCTGAGAACCATAGAAGTAAAAAGGTGGGCCAGCAAAGTTCTACCCATCAGCAAGGAAAGGCAATACAGAGGCTTGTCTATCTCTCCATAAGAAGAAAAAAGAAGTTTTCTTATGAATGAATATCCAACACTCAGGACTATATCTCAATTATACTTTTTGAATTCATGCTGCCAGCACAGCCAGTTTAGGAATCCCCAGCTAGAGAAATTAGCATATAAACTAGTCCTAGGTCTTCCAAAGACATAGAGATGGCCAAACAGGCACATGAAAAGATGCTCAACATTGCTAATTAATACAGAAACACAAATCAAAACCACAATGAGGTACCACCTCACATTGGTCAGAATGTCTATTATCAGAAGGTCTACAAACAATTAATTCTAGAGTAGGTGTGGAGAAAAGTGAACTCTACTAGGCTGTTGAGGGAAATGTAAATTGGAGCAGCTACTATGGAGAAAGAGTATGGGGGTTCCTTAAAAAAACTAAAAATAGAACTACTATATGATCCAGCAATC